AGAGAGAGAGAGAGAGAGAGAGAGAGAGAGAGGGTGGGGTGGGGGGGGGGGGGGTAAAGAGAGACAACCAGAACGTTCATGGATCTACCTAAAGATTTTGACTGGGTGGTGCGTCGCAAGCTTTTGTCCCCCTTTTTTTTTACTTTTTACCTTTTACCCCCACTGTCTGAGCATCCATGTGTACTTCAAATCACATACCCATGTGTTCTTCAAATCAAATACACGCGGTGAAAAATTACGAGGCCTTTTACGCGTTCTTAAAAGCATTAAAAAAATAGAAATCCTAGATCTGAGATGGCAAATAAATCAATGAGCATCTATCTGGATGATGATGATGATGATGATGATGATGATGATGATGATGAATGAAACACCACAATTTCGTCCTCATTGGAGTTAATTAATCATTCTTAGCTGTTCAGGAATCCTACAAATTTGAACCCATCTGGATTCTCGTGACGTGGATGGATGGACAATCGAAATCGGTTGGGTTTTAAAGCCGTCGTATAATTAAGGTCAACAAGCTGCTTGTTATTTATATGTTGTTCCACTGAATCATTTCTTGGAGAAATCTATTGATCACGTGATTGCCTTAAAGATGGTTGGTTTGGTACCTTGCTATGCTTGAGAATCCATGTCCGGCTCACCATAATTAGAGGATCGCAGAACTAGAGTGTTGAAACAAATATGGGATTAACCATGGTAATCATTCCGATTGCTAAGTTCTTGATTTTTAATCTTAATTTTATTTCTTTCTTCTTTTCATTCTTGTCCTCTTCTTTTGTGTCTATTATATTTTCTTAATTCGACTCGTTTTGCTGTATGAAGATCATAATTAAAATCTGAAAACAATTACTGAGTTCTAGCATATTATTGTTAACGATAATATTAATTTAATAGTTGAATTGATGGAGTTTATTTGAAAATTTTCCTAAAATTTTTAGTTTGATATATAGTGCTATGGGTCGCGAGAGAAACTAGAGTGTAAGCATATAAAAATAATTATTATTTTAATTAATATATTTTTTTCTGGATAGATGTGTCAATATATTTTTAATTCATATGACTTTGATAGATCCACACAAAACGAAAAAAATAATTTATATAAAATATAATTAAGCATTGAAATTTCATTATGATTTGTGAAATAATATTGATCTAATCTCGATTCAAATAAATGGTTGGTGGTGAAATAGGTTTAAAATGGGTTTGTACTTAAAAGATGATAGTTTGATATTGAAAAAATTGAGTGTAAAATCGAGTGCAAAAGTCATTTGACAGCAATTTTGATTGCAAAAGTTCACTCCAGCATTTGTTAAAGAAAAAGAAATCTATTTTGACGAATATGAATAAGAGTAAGAGAAAGATAATGATGGGTTTGAGAATGATGATATTGATTATGATGATGATTGAATTTGATATAAAACTCTATTATTTTGAGTCATTTGACATTTTTACATGATGGATAATATGACTTGATATTTTATACCTTTTCAATTTAATATTATTATATTTATTAATTATAATATATTTTTAAGATTTTATTATTTTAGATCATTTCATTTTGACGAGCGCCCAGGCAAGCGCTTAACACATTAGCTGTTTTAGGACATTGGTGCTTAACATTTTTAAAAATACTATTTGATGTGTTGATCATATAGTGCATTTATCATGATTTCATTTCATATGGATTAGCTAAGAAGTTGTCTAAATTAATTATTTGGTAAAAAGGGAGGGCTCATATTTCCTGAGGAATCTTGAAGACGTTTCAGATTATAGGAAATGAGTCGCTATACTTTTTTTTTTGGGTTATGGTTGTTGTTTGGGTTGTTACCTTTTTCCTTTTCTTTACAATATTATTATTATTATTATTATTATTATTATTATTATTATTATTATTATTATTATTATTATTATTATTATTATTATTATTATGGTTGCAAAGAAGATGATGAACACTCCTCCCAATGCAAAAACACTCCCAAGAGGATTCCGAGGCCATTCCTAAATTTCGCGGCGTTCGTCTGCGGAGGTCTCGCAGATTCCGTCCGCTTCACGAGCATTCGTGCAGGAGGAAGTCAGTAGACACACAAATGGCGTATTAGCCAGCCTTGTTAAAGAAAGCATAGCTTTCCCATGCAAGTCTCACCTGACCCCTAAGGAGGCAGCAGTGAAATTATTTTCGCCATTTGTTGGAAGAAGACATAGGATAGGCTGCCTGTAAATGCTGGTCTTTGTGGAGCAGCAGTTAAATATTATTTCGTATAGGCGTCGGCTTTCTATGGCAGCCACTAGTGTTGATCATCCTCCCACCGAGTCACACAAAAATATTTGCTCCCTTCGGCTGTTGAGTGGCTCACCGCATTGTACTCTTCTTTCTTTCGTCTTCCCTGATGTCAAAAGGCTCACGCTGGGAGGAACTTCCCAGCTTCTTGAGTTATGGGTTTTAGTGAGCAAAGGTGGATTTTTCGGAAGACTAATAATTAAATCTCTTGTAGTCGTCTCCTTGTAGCATCAGGCGTTATAGGATTTTTAAAAGTCACTTATAATTATTTACCCCCCATTTTCTTTCACGGAAATCTCTGCATGTCATTGCAGAATTGATGATTAAATGATTATTTCATCCATCAACCAACCCTTCTTTTGGTACTAAGAAATAGTTGGTTTTGAATGACCCCGTTTTGACTTTTCACTGTTAGTGCCTCAAATCTCCTCTTCTTATAATTAATACAATTTTCCAATGTCACAACCTTTGGTTCAAAGACAGATGGATTATGTTATTGTGGTATGGGATTGACAATGAAAATATCTTAGACAGACTAGAAAGGCGATTTACCTCTATTTCTTTTATCATTCTAACTATTTTATATTTGCCAGTTGCATAGTTGTATTTATCTGATTGCGAATTGTTGAGGATTGTTTGATAATACAAGTAATGTGCTCTTGTTTATGATACAACATAAATATGATTTGATCCATCTGAGCAAATAGAGTAATTTTAAATTTATTATGATCAGTAAAAGTGTTTGAAGTGGAGTTGATGGAGAAATTTAAGGTAATTACATATTATCCTCTTTAATTAGTTATATTTAGCATCCAGATTTTTATATTTTTAAAAGTTATTTATATTTATAAAAGTGAAACATTTAATCTTATTTATTCTCACCTCGTCAATTGGGAACATCGTAAGGTTTACCATTGATTACGTATTGATTTTACCTCACTTTCATTTATCATTGAGCACGTGCGGTGTTTTCGTCGGTAGAGTCGACGGTGTGGAGAGAAACGAAATTAAATATTTCACTTTCATAAGTACATAAATTTTAATATAAGTTTTAAAAACATAAGGATCGAGATGCTAAATATGGTTAATTAATATGTAATTAGCTAAAAAAATTATATTAGATTGCAATGTACTATATTTGAATAATTGGTCTAGGAGATATATGTGATTATATATTCAACTTAGCATGCGAAACCTCTTGGTTTTTACTTTTGAATTATTTTCCTGTCATTATGATATATTTTTTATTGCAACACGATACTTCTTTTTCATTGCTTACGTGATTCATTGTGACACTAGCTATTATGTCTTGTGACTGTGGTTTCGTAGATTATCTAACTTGCTCAAGTATATATACAGCCGGAATAAGACCTTGCTCTTGCTCTTGAACCATAAGCTATTAATCATTCTCCTCGACCTTATCGTATACTCTTTCATTCGCCTATGCATTATATTGTTTCATCTCCTTCGTACTCACTCTCATGAATTGAAATGAATCATCAGCATATATACTATCAACATAGTTAAGAAAATAATCCTCTACAATAGA